AAAAATGCAAGGAAAAGATGACTAGACAAGAGATTTTTAAGCGAAAGAAAAAAACCCGACAAAAAAAACAAAACAAAAAAAAACAATATAAAATGTAGTTACCTTTTGTCGTTGATAAATGGGACATCGGTTTTTGTTTCTCTCTGCTTATTTCTTTCACCACTGGGGTGATTGTTATTAGTTGGTCTGCTTGCATTTTGATAATATTCCCTTTGTTCTCTATTTGCACAAAGTCGGTCAATACATTAGATTTTGTGACTTGGTGAAAATTCTCGGATTTTTTTAGCGACGTTCTTTTTTTGTCTGTTGCTTGTTTTGTTTGAGTTTCTGCTACAAAGGTAACCACGGGAATCTTCTTTGGTGGCGGTTCTCTTACCGAAACGTCTCTAGCCGCACTTTCACTCTTTTGTTTAGAATCTATAAAAGCAAGATTAAAACTAGGCTTTAAGTAGTAATTAATGCAACATTGCACATTTGGTCCGTCATTAAATACACATTGGTCAATTCAATAATCTACATGCGTATTAATATGTTTTAATAATTTGGAAATGCAAAAGCCTTGACTGAATTAAGAGGGCAATTAGTGCAAACCTCATAAACAGGTTAAATAGAATAGTTGAATAGACTCTGCAGCCTTGCGTGGCAGTCAATCTAACAGAAGGAAAACGCTGAATTCCAAACCGCGAAGAAGCCAATAGGAATCCACTTCACCATTTTTACAAATAAGTAACTGTAATTCAAATACACTGAAGCAAAAAGTAGGTATGAAGAACCATGACCACGTACGTCCTGAAGAGATATGGTATTCCAAAATTAATTTTCCTTTTGCTAAATTTTCACCCAATACAAGTCCCGCGCCATTCAATGTAGAGTGTTAATGATGAAGTTGTTACGGACGTAAGAAGGAGAAATAAGTGCGAGGGATGAAAATATCGAGGATAACGGTTGATTATAAGCCATAAAGTGATTATTTTATGGCTACAAAATAGTTGATTTCTGGACCATAGTTAGTTTTGTTCAATATCCATTAGAAAATTTTAAAATAACCATTACTTCTTATTCGCTAGCCGTTAAAATAACAATAAACTGAAAATAACTGATTTATACCCATAATAATATCCAAAATGACTAACATTTATAAATAGTCGAGCTACTATCTAACCCGCATGACCTGAAGATTTCGCTCAAACATGAAACACGCTCGCGCCCCAGATTGTTGGCATCATTGTCTGCACTTCTTTTAATTACGCACCGCAGATCTGTTGTTAACTGGGGCAAGAAATGGCTTATTAATTTTAACGTCTCCAAAACGAAACTGCTATCTTTTAATCATCGTAGAGATCCATTTGTGCCTTCCTGGCTGAAACTGAACATCCAGGAAAATGACTCTTTGTCTCTTTCTGGTTTCACGTTTTCATCCGACATAAAATGGAATGATTATATTGAATATATTTGATAGATCTGCCGCTGGGAAAGTTGGTTCACTGTGTCGTGCTAGACAATGTTTTTTCTCGACAGAATCCATCTTGCGCATTTATAAATCTACCGTTCGTCCGTGCAATGAATGTTGGCATCATAGCTAATCTGGTGATCCTGCTATATATCACGAGATTCTCGACAAAATCCAAAGTAGTGTCTGTAATGTTATCGGTCCTTACCTGGCATATCAACTCGAGTCAGTTTCCACTGCCGTGACCTGGCTTCCTTTTGTCCTTTCTATAAATATTATCATGGCAATCATTTGTTCTTCTGGGTATTTCGATCGTATGAATTTAAGCGTACTATTAAGCTGGCAGTGAGGTCTAATAGTTTTACTGTTGAAATAGCTAGACGTGACCCTAAGTTCTATTCTAATAGACTATTTTCTCGAACATTTCGCCAGCGGAACTCTTTTACGGTTTTTGCTTTCTTGTCACCTATGATTACTCAAAAACTTAAATGCAACATAAATCGCCATTGTATCCTGTTCTTTTATTGTCGTTTCTCCTCACTAAAATCTTCTCGTTTTATTTCACTAACTGTAACCACTGGCGTCTTAAGGGTATTATTGCCTTGCATGGGGTGAAATAATTAAAAAAAGTAAAAAAAACAAATGAAAAGCCCTGTTACTTTTATTGAATCCTTTTACTATATAAATATTGCATAAATTAAAACTATATATATATATATATATATATATATACAAAAAGGAAATTATGTTGGAGAAACTGGAATGGAATTCCGTTTTCGGTTCAATGGCCATAAAAAACCCATCAAACAACAACAATTTTCCTGTCGCTGAGCTTTTCAACCAACCATTTCATAGCGTCGATGACATCAGATGCATGTTTTTAGCGTCTTCATTTAACAGCTGACATGAGAAACTCAGATCTGATTTGAAATTTATTTTCAAAATAAATTCACACATTGAAGGAATAAACAGGAATTTGGGTTTACTCAGAGAGCATATTTTTTACAGGGAGACCTCTAACCAAAACCAACATTCTTTGCAAGAATAACTCTTTGTTTATTCCTGGTGTCGCTGAAAAAGAACACAGGAGTGTTAGAAAATTACTGTTTCTCTCCGTGCTTCAATTCAGTCAACATGTTAATATATAA